TGCTACACAGAAATCATCGTAAGCCTTTTCGAGTTCAATTATTAAACTCTTCAACACATAATACTCTGTTCCTCGGTGGGCTGCACCGATAAGCCGCCTCGCGGCCAAACTAACCGCCGTTTTGGCCTTACTTCTCTCTTGTTTCTTGTTTTGGACACTCATATTTTAGTTCATAACATCGACCAATGACCCAATGATAACTACGTCAAGCAACTTCGAGCATTTGCCAGGCAAAACTCCTTTAAAGTCGGCTTCTTTATAGCTCACGAACGTCACCGTCCTGGATTGATTTCTTCGATCACTAGTGTTTTACTGTATTGGTATCGCTATATACCCACGTATTTCAACGCGCATGCAAACATAATTACACAACGAAAACGATAATGTACTTAAACAATGTATAAACTTTTATTTCTTTACAAATATCGTCGAATTATTAAGCCTTTTGTGCGGTAAAACACTGTATTAAAACACTGTATTAAAACCAAAAACCAAAACGTTGTTTACACGTTGTCGTCCTATTCACCGCGGGTTCGCCTCTTATCTCAGTCAGTACTTTATGTAAGTCTGTTATCGTATCGAAAGTTCTAATAACGTCTGAAGTCATACCAACACAACTATAAAAGGTTAAAGCTGTGGTTAAAGTGAAGCCTTACTTAAAGGGAATGTTTTCAGACGTTTCTTGAAGACTGAAATGTTATCACAGGCAGTTCCTCACATTCAGAGGCAGGGAATTGTGGAGCTGCGTGTGCAAATGCCCGATCACCTAAGGTCTTACAGTTAGTGTTCTGGATATGTGGCAGTCCTTGATCATCCGATCTCAATGTCCAGCGATCGCTTAATGGTTTTGGGATGAGCAATTCAGAAATGTAAATATAGGGGCCGTGTTGTTAAGAGCCTTGTAAACTAACAAAGCAATTTTGAATTCCACCCGATATTTTACTGGTATAATTAGGCAGTGAAGTTCAACCAATACTGGAGTGATGTGTGAGAATCTTGGACGATGGTGAATTAATCTGGCAACAGCATTAAGAACTTTCTGAATTCGTTGGACTTGATATTGAGATATGCCAGCCAATAGAGCGTTACAATAGTCCACATGTGATATCACGAAGGCATGTATTGGAGTTTTCGTTGTGTTAACAGATAAAAATGTTCTAATTTGCCGTATTTTATAAAGTCCTCCGAATGCTTTACTACACATCTTGCCTGCATGAACAGACATTGACATGTGCTATATCAAACCACGATCCCAAATTACGAACACTGTCAACCGACTTAAAAAAAAAAACATAGCAAAAACTATCCCGACTGTTGGGAAAAACCTTGCCGTGATATAATTCTTTTAAAACCATTTTGTTTTATATCCTATAGATATCTCTTATAGAAATTTTTGATATGTCATGTTTTTATTGTTGTATGGTGTCCTGACGTTGTATTGTGTTTTCGAAACTTGTAAAGTAAAAAGTGTATTATAAAAACTTTATTTCGAGCAATAGTTTTACATTTCATTTTACCAATTTTCTCAGTCATTTCCTGAACAAATCATAATGCTAAACAGGAACTATTTTTCTGGTGAAAAAGTCATTCCATCATTGTGTTTATATTCTAAGCAGAAATTGAGAAAAACAAGTTTGTAATAAAGCAATAAAGTCTCACAGGAAGCTATTTTGAAAGCGTGGGCGTAATTTAATTAAATTAAACTGATATTTGGATATTTGGTCCTAATCGATAAAAATTTATACTAAAACAATTATTCGCCTCAGTGATTACGGTGAATATTCACCGGTAATCACTTCGCCTTCGGAGAATAATTGTTAAATATCACACAGTTGGCTTATAATTTCCGCAGTCAGAATTTTAATTGATAAACTTCTGAAATTGTGAAATAGACAGTTCACATGCACTCATGCATGTTGAACCAGCAATTTGAATGTATTTGCTCAAATTTGTCCCGGAGCCTCACTCCTAATTCATTAATTGTACTGCATATAGTACAATTAAATAAATAATTGTACTTCGCTCAACTAATCAGAATTCAGTAATTTTGTCGCAAATATTAATTAAGAACTACGAGTTACTATCGCAAGGAAAGTACTGCCTCAAATTTGACGCTCGGATCGAGAAAACGATCGACTGGGCCACCACTGCCGTTGGGCTATTTAGTGTTGTGCAAGGCGCCCATGAAAGAGCACTGCTCTTCACTGGAACGTGGTGATTGGAATGAGTGCTTAAACGCTCGTGGCCTTCAGTATTATATGAATCTTTGAAAAATAAACGGGCACACTTTACATGTATTACTCTTGAATAAGAATACAACATAGTGAGTGACCAGATCGATATTTAGATGACGCGACCGAATGCAAACATAATACGCGCGCCATACAATTTTCGTCTAATTTTCCTTTTATTACGTTTGAAAATTGAAATTTTTAACGCAAGACATCCAAACCTGCGTGAGCAATACAAAATTTTGACCCTTATCAAACTTCGATGAAATATATAAAAACATTTTAGACGACGTATATTTTTAACGAATGCAATTGATGTTATGTTGACAGATCTTCTGTATATTATGTTAATTGGAGTGGATGTTCGTTTATTACTTTTGCTAATGGAAAGTTTTAGCGTCCACATCGACCGACGCAAAGTTGAGCCCCCCGCTCGGCCGAGTGAACTTTGAAGAAACGTTATCGGAATAGTGTCAAGAATAGTGTGCTGCGAATAGAAAACCAGTCGCTTGCGTTTATCACAGAATAAACGCAGAATAAACGAGACGAGTTTTCTATTTCTTTTTTCAAACACTCATTAATAATTCATAAGCTTATTGGCAAATCATGTCAACCATAATATGTCACGTGCAGTGGATTTAAACCTGATAAAACACTCCTAATTAGTAGAGGTGTGCATTGGATCGGATTGGGCGTTTATAATCCGACAATTGCCTAATGTTTAAAATCCGATCCGAAATTATCTAATCCGAATCCGATCCGAGTTATGATAAAGAATGCCAATCCGATCCGAAGAATTCTTTAATAAAATAAATTTCTCATTCAAGTTGAAATATTTAACCAAATAAATATAAAAGCAAGAAATACATGTCAAGAAGCTGACAAAGTGACGTCCAATTGAAGTATAAAACGAATAATGCAGCGACAGTTAAGCCCTAGACTTGCTCCAAGTCTCTCTTTCATTGTCATATCGATCCACTATAATGTAGTGTACATTACATGACGTAGCACGGAGAGGCGGAGCGAGAAAGAGAGACTTGTCAACTTCGGAAAATCTCGGTTCAAAACTGAACCGAAAATGCAAGACTTGCTTTAATTCTTTTCCTTCATTTCTCTCTTTATCATTTACTATAATGGAACTCATGTTATTTACATGTGCTAGATCAATACATATAAACACTGATAGAAAACAATTAAAGCAAGTCTTGCATTTTCGGTTCAGTTTTGAACCGAGATTTTCCGAGTTGACAAGTCTCTCTTTCTCGCTCCGCCCCTCCGTACTACGTCATGTAATGTACACTATAGTGGATCGATACTATATGACAATGAAAGAAGAGAGACTTGGAGCAAGTCTAGTTAAGCCCCGACATTTGGTGGATGTAAACAAGTGACGCGTGTACATATTGGCAAATATATGTAAGGAGGAGAATGTAAAATTTCAGCAATTTTAAGAAATATATTTTACTTAGATCTCTGCTTCTTTGCCTACAGTTTTATACAGACAATGATATTGTGAAACGAGAGAGCTCAATAAGGATTTGTAAACAACAGCTCATTCAGGGCGACAATTACGGCTTTAAAAACTAAATATATTATTTGGCCCTCATTGAGCTCTCTCGTTTCACAATATCATTGTCTGTATAAAACTGTAGGCAAAGCAACAGAGATCTAAGTAAAATATCTTTCTTAAAATTGCTGAAATTTTACATTCTCCTCCTTACATATATTTGCCAACATTTTTGCGAGTATACACGCGTCACTTGTTTACATCCACCAAATGTCGGGGCTTAACTCGAATACTTAAATCGTTAATTGACTTCGAGTTAAGTCCCGGCGAAAAAGGTCGTGGCAGAGGGGCTTAACTCGAAAAGGGCTTAACTCGGGGGGCTTAACTCGAAGGGCTTAACTCGAAAAATACCTACCCCTTGCCAAATACGCGATAAACGAGCAAGTCAACGTATTTTTGGGTGTTTATTGGTTAAAAACTGTAATTCAATTTTTTTAGAAACAGTCCACCAGTATAAAAATAATATAATATAATATAATATAATATAATATAATATAATATAATATAATATAATATAATATAATATAATATAAAATAATATAATATAATATAATATAATATAATATAATATAATATAATATAATATAATATAAAATAATATAATATAATATAATATAATATAATATAATATAATATAATATAATAAATAATATAATATATATATAAGTTAAAAAGGCAATCTGTCGATCGGGGAAGAACTAAAACATGCTGCCAAAAGAAAATGGTTGTGTGTTGTAATGAACAAGACTTTGATCATTTCGACGGCCAGAAAATGCCATGATACGATGATTAGGGCTGTTACTCGGACACTATAGTTTGTGTAAACAAATCTTCCAAAACAAATCTAAACAAATTTGAGAAAATTCGGAAAGAAGTTATAAGAGAGGGGGAGTTTCTGGTAACTTGCGATGGACGATTTACGTTAATTAAATTAAATTGGTAATAAATTGAAAAGCGGTTCTCAAATACACGAAAAGTTCAGTTTTAAGAAGTTTTAATGTTTTAATTAATAAAAAGCTGAACACATGCACAGTAAACAACTATCTTAAATGATCCAAATCCTAAACGATTTAGCCCAAAATTTATTAAGTGAGGTACATATATATATTCGAGAGTTCGCTAAGTTGGTTATAAAGTCAGGCTAAAGTCAGACGTGCATTAAACTAGGTTTACATAGATGAAAGTAAATTATATAATGTAAGTTACAGAAGAAGAAAAGAAAACATCAGAGAAGCAACAGGGCTTGTTTCTCCTTTTGTTGTCAGAGATAGTTTAACATTCTCTGTCTTGCCAGCAGGAGCGTCAGCTGGCACAACGAACTTGATTCCTGCAAACCCTTGTCTTCCACGGTAACAAGGTCTCGGGGATCTATAGACATAACCATAACCTCGTTCATCTTTCAAACTCATTGTGTACATCTGACTTGCAGCTCCAGTTTTTCCGCGAAGAATTTTAACCGTAATCCTGGTCGTCTGTCCTCGCCGAAGAATATTGGAGTCTTCTTTATAGGCCAACTTCAGAAGAACCGGCACGGTTTGATCTTTGGTGGATGTTTCTCGTACAAATGGACTGCCCTTTCTTGTTTGGCCGTGTAACTGGAGTTTGAAAGGTCCAGAAGGAGGGTTAAATCTGACAAAATACCGTACACCACTTGTTCCAACAGCAGTCACAGGTTCATTAGCGCGCACGCTACCTTTTTCGTCCACAACTGTAATTCGCAATGAACCAGGTTTTACTGATTCAGCACCAGCTACGGTGATAAATGCCTTGGTTCGAAAACCTGTAAAACATACAAAAATATTGCCTTATACCCAAACTATTGGTGGTATTTTTTTCCAATCATTCTTTGATACTAATCCTACCCAATTTGTATAATTGAGCATGCGCAGTTTATTTTGGGTCAATGTAGCACGCGCCATTAATAGTGAGAATTTGTCATATTTGGTGCTTAAATTATAGTCTTCTTATCGTAATATTTTCGATTTCTTCTTCCTTTATTAATCCCTTTCAAATAACGAGCAATTCGTTAAGAGAATGGATAAGGAGGTAGGTCCGACAAGCATTAATTCAAATTTTCCTTCATATGTAGGGATAAAGACTGACGGTCAGACACACGCTCTTATAGAGACGCGAACACGCGTCTAAGAAACAACGTTAACTTACCTTGGAGTGGTTGATCTAAAGGAACAGGAATACGAGTACCACAATTTGCAATTGCTACATAGTAATGACCAAAGTCGATATTGCTTCCACTGACACCACTCACCCTGTACTTATGTTCTCCTGCACTAGCTGGTACTATCAGCTTGTATACACCTGTAATTGGGCTTTCTATGTCATAAACAACGCCTTTAGTTAAATCCACGCGGCCTGCTTTGACAACCTTTCCGGTCGGATCAATTAAGTTTATACCAGTCACTGAATGCTCAGTTGTTACAGAAATGGAAATTTTTTCAATAGAATCGTCGACTGATATTGAGTATTTCATAGGTGTAATACTCCATTTTCTGCGACAGCTTGAACACCCAGTTCCAGAGTCTATCGAAACGAATCCTGTTAGAGAACTTGCAACTAATTTACCAAGCCGTTTCAGATCTAAAGTTGTTTTCATTGGGTAGACAAATCCACCTGTTTCGCTGGCAACATCACGGAATGGCCGAAGAACATTCGATGGACCACAACCACGTGTAGTAAAGAAATTTATTTTAACACCCCGGTCGAATGCAAGATCACGCACAAGATCCTTGTAGTCTTCACTAGCATCTTTGGCAGGAGCGTCTGTGAACACAAACATAGACGAGCCTGGTAGAGGACCTGCATCCAGCGCGTTTATCATTCCTGTAAAGGCCAGTTCTGGACAGTCACCACCACTACCCAATCTTAATGCTCGTAAAGCTTTCAAGAATTTTTCTCCTTCTGTTTTACTATTTTTTGTGACAGGACCAGTTTCTGCCGAAAAGAAGGAACAACAATGATAAGATAATTCCAAAAAACACAACGGTTTATATAATATTTTAGCTTACACCTAAGCATTTAAAGTTATAATTGAGCACAGAATTATAAACATACAAACGAGAATGAGTTGGGGAACGAGAGGACTCAGGGAACACAGAGCTTTAGCAATTTTTGATTCGCCATTTTTGTAGCCGTTCTTGTTTGAAATCACGAACGTGAAACTACATTGAGGGCATAATTACGTACGGGTGATATCCGCGTTGTCAAAAACGTCGCTTGGTTAATAGTAGTAGTAATACTTTATTTATACACGCTGACCACGTCAACCGTAGCTGATTTCCACGGGGGGAGGGGGGGGGGGGTTTCGTGTGCCAGAAAATAATTTTACATGTAGAATATGATAATGATAAGCTAAGTTATTTACAGTAACATATAAGTTTAAAAGATATAACAAATATTTTGAGCTATTTACAGGTAAATTATATTTACAAAACTGTTACCAAGCACTAATGTGAGCAGCGATTTTATTTCGAAAGGAAGAAAGTGACTTGCTTTCCCTAATTTCTTTCGGTATAGAATTCCAGTTAATAAAGCTCTCTAATAGAGAAATTGGGGAATAGAAACCCGAAGTCGAACAATGGGGACATAGAAATAGTGGAAACGCGGAATGAGAAATCCGGGGAATGGAAGACCAAAGCAATGGGAAATTTGGAGCATAGAAATTCAGATAGATGAATCGTTTAATAACTCAATTATTGCAGTCCTAAGGCTGAATTACAATTGATTGGATATATATAGAATTTATAAAATGGACACTTTATATAAAAATTAAGCTATATATATACAAGATTAAAAATAAGGATAAAAGAGTCCTTAAAGCTATTAGTTCTAATTTTTGAGAGATTATATTTCCTAATTGTTCTGAAATTATGAACAGCCTTATTCGTTTCTCGTAAAGTACATGTATGGATAAATGATTCTTAGCGCTCTTTTCTGAATTCGTTCGATTTCTTTTGATCAGGGGCGAAACTAGCCCCTTTTAATTCGGGGGGTGTCTGCCAAAATTGCCCTGCCAAAACCGATGATGCCCTGCAGCAAATTTTTGAGATCCTGCACTTTAGTATTATAATATATCTTACGGCATCGTTTTCTTTCACGGTTGACTTTATTTCGTAAAAATTAAAACAAAGGTTTGTTGCCTATTGCAAATGCTTTCTCTCTTTTATTGATTAGTCGTTTGAAATTATTTGTCATCCATGGGGGGTCAGTAGCATGCACTTTAACGGATCTTTTTGGCATAATAGTGTCCAACTCGTATAATAGTGTCCAACTTGTTTACAGTTGGTTTTTGAACTGATGATATAATATCTTCCAACGGGACGTTCTGGAAGAACCGGCCAGAACTAGAGACATTACTTCTTCTTTTATCGCGCACTTTTATTGTTCTTTTTTCGGAATTTTTTGCCGTATTGCTGGGAAAACAGTAATTGTGAGATGATCACATATTCCAAGTGGACAACTTCTATTTGGTGCCATGTAAAAATCTTGTAAATTAGTAAAAATCTGATCTAAGGTATTATTGCCTTTTGTAGGAAAGTTTATAATGCATGGTTTTAAATGAAAGTACTTTGCTGAAAATTTGAAACAAAGTTTATTAAAATCACCACCTAGGATTACAGCGCTATTTAAATAATTTGACTCGATAAATTCCAATGAGTTTTTAAGATTTTCCTTCATTGCGTTATTGTCGGCATCGGGTGGATGATAGACGACAGAAGCTATAATATGCGAGAATCCTCAAGGTAGGCGTTTTGGTCGTAATAGGGACCATAGAGCTTCGGGTCGTCATTGTGAAGATCAGTCAATATTTTACTTTCGATAGATTTTTTTAGTGGGCCGGCCAAGGTGACAAAAAGTGCCTCTCAAGAGAGTTGATGGCAACTTTATGCTAGAAGCTGGAACAGGCATTTTCTTATAGTTTAAGACTTGGTGAACAAGACTGTGTGTTAACACTTCTGATTTTTGCTTTATAGCCGAAAATTGGAGAATTTTTAAATTTTGCCTATTAAATTACTATGATGGCAAAAAATGTAAAATCTCATGTTCTCTCATACGAAAAATAAACTATACCACTAGAAAGATCGCAAAAACTAAAAATAAGACAATTAAGCGACTAGTGCGATTTTTCAAGCCGGTTCTGAATTAAAGATGGTTAAAGTTGGCAAAATGGGTACTTATTAGCATTAATTTGGTCATTTCCGCATTTTTAGCATTGAAAACTCGAAATTGACGAAATAGGATTCGAAAAACGTAGAACTCGCTTAATTGTCTTATATATATAGTTTTTGCGATCTTTCTAGTGGTATAGTTTATTTTTCGTATAAGAGAACACGAGATTTTACAATTTTTGCCATCATAGTAATTTAATAGGCAAAATTTTAAAATTCTCAAATTTTCGGCTATAAAACAAAAGTCAGAAGTGGTAACACACATAGTCGTGTTCACCAAGGCTTGAACTATAAGAGAAAATGCCTTCTAACATAAAGTTGCCATTAAGCTGTACAAAATGATGACATGACCAGCCAGCTATTTTACGTATAAACAAACCCCACCATGGAGTCTATTCATACGATTTCTTCGAAACAATTGGTATCCCGCTATGTTAATTGGATTATTTGGAATAGATTGTCTTAGCCACGTCTCTGTTAGAAAAGCCATATCTATATCTTCTTGTTCTATCGTTAGAGCAACCTCGTCAATCTTTAATTGGGGCCAATGACATACATTAGATAAAAGACAGGAAGGGTCAAAATATAATTTGGTTGGAGAGGACAAGGAAGTTACTAATTGAGAGTTATATGGGACATGGGAAGAAGGTGATTTATCTGGATTCGAATTCACAAGCGTGACGCGCAGATAGGTAGGTGGACTGGGACTTGTATTAATGGTTGGGGAGGGTATGTTGGGATGGGTGGGTGGACGTGTAGGTGAACTGGGGCTTGCGTTACTGGTTGGGGAGGGTATGTTGGGCGTAGCATCCTCAAGGGAAATGGTTTGGGGTTGGATGGGACACTCTGGAACCAACAAAAAAAAGCAGGAGGAACAGTGCGAAATAGGTCGTGAATAAGTGGGGCGAGGTATGAGAAATCACATGTGCCCTTTTTACTGCACCTGATGTTTTGGTGGAAGGGGTTTAGTGTATATGGGGTTGATTTGGTAGGAAAAATCGCAAAAGTTGTCTTTGGTGCACCAGCCTCGTTTACAAAGAAATGGACATGGTATGGTATGCTTCGGAGGTTGTTGGGTAGGCCTTAAGTCAGGGTGATTAGTATTCTTATGCTGCTTATTCTGGGACTGTGGCGGTAGGGGATATGGTAGGGAAATCAATAATAATGCCATTCACATTTATACTTGAGTTCAATGGATTTTCCTTAATTGATTCAGCATGAGGGTTTTGCTTATACTCACGTGGGAATCGGTGGGATTTATACATAGAAAGAACCTTCGCTTCCAATTCACCAATGCGTGATTTTAAATTCAAATTTTCTTTACTTAATCTGCATAATTCTTGTTTACTTGTTGTAATACTTTGTTCAGAAAGTTTGGCTGCTAAATTTTGCATTTGAGATTCAATTTTTTCTTTGAATGTAACAAATAGTGCCTCCACTCCAGCCAAGTTATCATTAATACGCTGCTGGTTTGGTGTAGACATATCAATTGTTTCCCCCAAATTCGGCAATACAATCGTATTGTAAAATAAACTGTCAATAAAGACTTCCAGGTCTTCAAGTGTCGAAGTATCAGCAACCGATACTATGTCTTCACTCTTAGTTATATTAGTCATATCATCAGTAAAAACCATAGCTGTTGTAATACCAACCACCCCCTTGCCTGCATCAATTTGCCCAGGCAACGATTGAACTTCTATAGGGCACTTGGATACAGCCTTCGTTTCAGACACGTTTATACAAAAATCCCTTAACAAATACCCTTCTTTAACAAATACCCGGATCCATGGAATGATAGAGCTGAGAAATGGGTAATTTGTGGAAAAAATCGAAGGAATGCGGAAATCAAGGAATGGGAAATCTGGAAAACGAAGACTCGGCAAATGAGAAATCTGGGAAATGGAAAACCAGAAGGATCGAAAATCTGACGAATGGAAGATTAGAGAATGGAACATCTGGGTAATGGGAAACCTGCGTTTTGGGAAACATGAGTAATGGGAAATCTTTAGTACTGTGTCTGGTCTTTACTCTGTTATTATAAAAGCATAGTTGCCACTTAGCAGTCTTATACAGGAACAATTTAATTGCATGAAATATAAACTCGATGCATCGCTGTCTTTGTACTTCTGTCTTTGTCGGGCTATAAGATGTCATTTTGACTGCTTAACAGGATTTATTTGGCTTTAATAGATCTCTAAATTCATAATTCTTGTCTTTGAATCCTCGATACCGTAAAAAAGCAGTTTAAAAAAAAAGTTAAACATATTCATATTGGTTAAAGTGGCACTGTCATTAAAATTTTTATTTTCTTAAATGAAAATGCTCTTAAAACTGCATAGTAACTTGTTTTGAAGATTTTTGTCCCCATGCTTAGTTCATGAGATATTTCATTTTGTTTGTAACCATGTGACGTCATTTACTCAATTACATATTTAATGAGATATCAGTAATTGTTGGGTATCTTTGCTATTTTTTATGGATTTGTTAAAAAAAAACCAGTTGCTTAATGATCTAGGTTAAATTAACAAACGTGCCGCATCTTTGAAAAGATTTTGATAAAAAATAGCAAGGATACACAAGAATTACTATCTCATTATATATGTAATTGAGTAAATGACGTCACATGGTTACAAACAAAATGAAATATCTCAAGAACTAAGCATGGGAACAAAAATCTTCTACTATACAGTTTTAAGAGCGTTTTCATTTAAGAAAATAAAAATTTTAATGACAGTGCCACTTTAAAATAAACATCAAACAGCAGCTTTGGCTTTTTTTAGTAAAGTTCTTGAATTTTTCTCAAAACGTAGGGTATTTATGGATAATTGGGGTAAAAACTGGCAGATCATTAATATTCTATTTTGTGGCTATCGACGATTGGAGATTGCCGATCCATGCCGAAACCATTCTCGTACCCAGAGTCCTTCTTACGCGCGGTCAACGGAGCGCGACGAGGGGCTCTGGCTAAATCCATATCAAACTGACATCTGATTGGCTACAACGAAGGTTATTGTTCTAATACCGGATATATTCTTTTACAATGTTTTTATGGTATCCGGTTTTGGATTTGGCCAGAGCCCCTCGTCGCACCGCGCGTAAGAAGGGCTCTGGGTACGAGAATACTGTACTCGAAACCTATACTCGCCTGGGCACAGGTGCCCCAGCGAGTAATTAACATATAACATATCAAACAAATCAGGAAATACTTAACTGACGATGCTACCAAAATTTTAGTTCATGCATTTATTACATCCCATTTGGATTATTGCAATTCTTTGCTGTATGGAATTCCAAAATATCAATTAAATCGATTGCAGAAAGTGCTAAACGCTGCTGCTCGTGTTGTATGTCTCGTACCTAAGTTTGATCATATTACACCTACATTAATGAGACTGCATTGGTTACCGGTTAAATACCGTGTAAAATTCAAGATCGTACTGTTGGTTTATAAAGCTCTACATGGACTGGCTCCCAAATATATTCGTGACATGTTGACTTATAAACAAAGTAATAACTACTCTTTGAGATCGGACGAACTAGGGCTTCTTCATGTTCCAAGCACACGTAGAAAGTCTTTTGGTGATCGTGCCTTTTTGAAAGCAGGACCTACTCTATGGAACTTAGTACCGTGTGAGATTCGGCTTTCACCTTCGTTGGATTCTTTTAAGACAAATCTTAAGACATTTCTGTATAGAGATGCGTACATTAATAATACTTCTTGTTTTTAAATATTTTTAAATAGATGCTTATAGTACTTAAATGTTGAGTAATAACGTAGGGAAATTTTAAAATTAGCTTCCTATTTTATGTAATTAAGCGCTTTAGAATATTGTATAGTTTTAGCGCGGTATAAATTAATAAATTATTATTAATATTATTATAACTCGAGCTTTGCGTTTGTAAGAATGCGTAGGTATGTGTCATCTCTATAAAGAGAATTCATCAAGTGAGTGGAATTACTATCTGCATTAAATTGAATCGATCTTGAAATTCTGTACAGTATATATTGTATGATAGTGTTACGGTATCATAATGTTAACTCCACACTATATTTCATATCATTGAATATAAACACGACCGCAACGACATCCATCCACCCACCCACCCACTCACCCACATGCCCTCCGCACAATTGAAAATTAGCTGCAACAACTGATAACTTACTTGGATCGCCAAACGGCGATAGGATATAATCCACATCCTCATCTCGCTTAGATTTAACAATCTGTTCTGATATTGCAATGGCTGCTTTAATTTCACCTGCCATACTGTATGTAACATCAATGGCGAACATTAAGGTTACCTGTCCACTGATACTCAAGGAATCGTCAAATGCTTCTTCGCCGATTTCTTCTTTTGTACTGTTTAAAAACTCAGCAGCTCTAAGGATCAGAGAGTCATCTCTTCGTTTCCTTACCCCCGACTTTTCTTCCCTTTGGGCCATGAACAACCCTTGTGATGTCAGTTCTCTAATGATTTTTGTGTTCGTTGTTCGGTCTTTAGCAGCTTCCTTAATAAAGTCTTTAATGTTCGAAATCGTCCCCGGCTTAACAGTTCTCCGACGTAGGGCAGCATGAAACTCAGCAATTCCTTTTTCGAATTTGTCAATGACTTTAAAGAATGCATTGGTGACGTTCTTGCCTTTCCGCAGTTGCGCAGCAAATTTCAACAATACATCACGAGCCGCGTCTTGGTACTTCACATGGCCTTGGATTGCTTCAATCTCCCCAAATTCGTCATCTTCAAATTCTGTGCCAAAGTCTTGAAAGTAATCGGGCTGATTGAAGTTTTCGGTTTGGTAAAATTCTCGGTAATCGTTGTCTTCATCGAAATTGTAAAAGTTGTTCGGGTTAAAAGCTGAACAGACAATCCCGAACAATAAAACTGCAAAAGCGAGCTTTATCATATACATCTTCGATCAGTGAATCGAGGTGAACCTCCAATTCTACAAAAACAATGATAAAAAAAATAACATTCATAGTAACTCAAATCTATACATTGCCACTCAAATCTTTCTGCACAAGAAAATATCAACAATAAAGCGATATTACCTTTAGAAGCAATGTAGTTCTCTATATTCCCCTTAATGTTCACTTCTCGGTGCAGAACAGCGAATGCCAGAAATGGTAACACACACCTGCTTATATGCACAGTGGCCCAGCCAGGTTAAAAAAAAAAAACCAAAAGGGCGCTGTATAGTTATAGCTCAATCAATTGTTGAAGAACGAAAACGATTGGTTCGTTACCAAAATACATGCTGTGAACGTACAGTGAAGCATGCATCGTCTTCCTTCAGCATCTCAACATGGTAGTCTTTGTTAAAAGCGATGCGTATATGATAACCTATTTAGTTAAGATTGTCTTTTCAGTTTCAAAGTCAAAACTCAAAACCTCGCGACTTCTAAGCGCGAAAAGCACAATGGACATGTAGCTATACAGTATGCAATTCATAATTCTGACACTCCGTAGTTTAATTTAAATTAGGAAAACACAACTATTATAGAATATAGTGCTCACATGCATGCAGAACCAAATGTCATAAAAACAAACATGCCCATGCATTGTGGTTTTTGCGCTTGGAGGTCAAAGTTTTGCGGTTGTGAATTTTGACATTCAGTGCTTCACAGCCTAGACGCAACTTTCGCTGCGGCGGAAATTACAAGTTAAATTCAAAAGGAATACAAAAGACAAAATGGACTATTTGCTCAACATAACAAATACAAACAGTGCATGAAGTTTCGATTTCCTTCAGCAGAAGTCTTAAGGTTAGTTTCCACTCAGGAAAATTATCCGTGGATTGGAACGGACAAGAAAATTTCTCTTTGTGTTAAAGTCATTAGTTCCAACCCAGAGCTTACAAGACAAAGAAAAATTTTCTTGTCCGTTCCTATCCACGGATAATTTTCCTGAATGAAAATTAGCCTTTATGATCTATTCATTGTATTTCATGTTCAACATTTCGTGTCTTGATTTTGAGTAGCTATGCGACGTTGCAACCCAAATATAAAGACTTGTTGGACTATAATAATTTGGTAATGTTTTCTTTTCTTTGTCTGTAACGCAACGAAAGTTGTTAGGACTCTGGATGAATCATGCATGTTTCTCAAACGTCTGTGGTAGTAACGATGTTAGCCTATATATATAAGGAATGATGCAGCCGGGTTAAGATAATCTTAATCTTAAAATTCTTATTAATGCCGTCTCTCGATCGTATCTCTTTATAGTGATATATACTATAATTCTGTCATAATGACAAAGTTATATGCAGTATATTAAACATCAGCGGTATAGAACACCATTTAAACATATTCATGCACAACTTATTGTTTCATCTTCAATGAGTGCTGCATGTATGCATGCATATACAGCAATTCCCTGGTATTATAACTATATTATGTCATTGCTGCATGAAGATCGAGCATCGCAAAGCTACAAGTATTTTATTAATACTATATAACAGTTACGCTTGTTTATCTACAACTAAATTTATTTAAATTGTGTGAATTTGGGTCTTTAAATTGTAATAGCTCACAAGTCGAGTTATGCGACCACGTATAATTGCTGCCGATTGAAAAGTTTAATTGAAAAGAAACACAAAAGGCTATGTATCCAGGTGATCTCGTGTTTGTATTTTAGCCAATCAGCGCTCAGAAAGGGTTGTCCGAATAGAAATCCATTTAGATGTATTCAGTCAATTATATCTTTCATTATTCTTTATGAAACTAATTGAAATTTTGTAATTATGTTTGGTTATGGGAACTATAGGTCTGACAAAAATATGGAATCGAAATAAAGTATATTACAGGAGATATTCAGTTGTTTTAATCATAAAATGGATTTCTATGTGACAACTAGTGCCAGTACTTTTCCGCGTACCAAGATCACCTGGTATATTCAACATAACAAATGCAAGCAGTGAACTTCTGAGTTCCTTCAGCACTATATCAGCTAGTCTTTAATTTCTTCATTGACTTCAAGTAGGTCAATATTTTGTATTCATTTTTAGGGGCTATATATATGGGACGGTGCATAAAATACCATGCAATCCTGTATTATGTCTATGACTTATGTATGTCACTGAAAACCATGAAAGTATTTTATAAATATTAAACAATGATGCATGCATTTACCAGAAACTTATTTCAGCTTTATCTTGTCTTGACTTTCGCACGTAATTTTAATTAAATATAGTTCTTAAGGATATACGCGACCTTCGCTGCGGCGGATATTAAGTTAAATTGAAAAAGAATAAAGGAATACAAAACTCGAAAGACTAATCGACTGTTTGTTCAATTAAGGTGGCTCGATATAGTTTTTTAAAATGGAAAATTCACGATTTAGATCCGTATTTTTGGAGAATTATTGCTTGCTGAAAAACAAAAAGTATCTTATACTGATACTATATATACACTGATGTAAAACAGCATCCAAATGCTTTGAATCATCTTCTCACAAAAGTTATACGCAACTGCGCTGCAATGGCAACAATGATGTCTATTTTGGCTTTGGTATGAATGGCGGATATTTTGGCTTTAAAATAATTTAGGTCGTAAACGACATCGCGCTGAGCCGACAAATTTTTGGGGATCACTTTAATTAGGCTTGGTTATCAAGTATTGCATGAACTATATAATGTGCTATGAACCACTGAACTTTAACCCAAGTTAAATTCAAAGGGAATACAAAAGACAAAATGGACTATTTGCTCAACATAACAAATACAAACAGTGCATGAAGTTTCGATTTCCTTCAGCAGAAGTCTTAAGGCTAGTTTCCACTCAGGAAAATTATCCGTGAATTGGAACGGACAAGAAAATTTTTCTTTGTCTTGTGAGCTCTGGGTTGGAACTAATGACTGTAACACAAAGAAAAATGTTCTTGTCCGTTCCAATCCACGGATAATTTCCCTGAGTGGAAACTAGCCTTTAATTAAGGTTAGTTTCCACTCAGGAAAATTATCCGTGGATTGGAACGGACAAGAAAATTTCTCTTTGTGTTAAAGTCATTAGTTCCAACCCAGAGCTCACAAGACAAAGAAAAATTTTCTTGTCCGTTCCTATCCACGGATAATTTTCCTGAGTGAAAATTAGCCTTTATGGTCTATATTCATTGTATTTCATGTTCAACATTTCGTGTCTTAGTTTTGAGTAGCTATGCGACGTTGCAACCCAAATATAAAGACTTGTTGGACTATAATAATTTGGTAATGTTTTCTTTTCTTTGTCTGTAACGCAACGAAAGTTGTTAGGACTCTGGATGAATCATGCACGTTTCTCAAACGTCGGTGGTAGTAACGATGGTAGCCTATATATACAGGGTGTCTCAAAAAAAACCAAAATCATTGAAATAACGTATTGTTCGAATTTCAATGCCGTAACACAAAGGATTTTGACAGGGTGATTAATTTGTTTTAAAAAATTAAAATATCTTTGTAAAGTGAACGTTTGTTTGCTCATGGGAATTTAAAAATGCTTCGTAAATTCGTGGGTTTAGTACTTTATGCCTGACATAACAAGTTTACGCTGAGTATTACCATTCATTATAGCAGTTATGTCAATCTTTTATGCACTCGTGGGATTAACTTAGTGCTAGGGCATTGAATATCGAACAATACGTCAATTTCAATGATTTTGGGTTTTTTTGAGACACCCTGTATAACGATGCAGCCGCTTAAGATAATCCAAATTCTTATTAATGCCGTCTCTCGATCGTATCTCTTTATAGTGCTATATACTATAATTCTGTCATAATGACAAAGTTATATGCAGTATATTAAACATCAGCGGTATACAATAGAACACCATGCATTTAAACATATTCATGCAGAACTTATTGTTTCATCTTCAATGAGTGCTGCATGTATGCATGCATATACAGCAATTCCCTGGTATTATAACTAAATGTCATTGCTGCATGAAGATCGAGCATTGCAAAGCTACAAGTATTTTATTAATACTATATAACAGTTACGCTTGTTTATCTACAATTAAATTTATTTAAATTGTGTGAATTTGGGTCCGGTTTAAATTGTAATACCTCACAAGTCGAGTTATGCGACAACGTATAATTGCTGCCGATTGAAAAGTTTAATTGAAAAGAAACACAAAAGGCTATGTATATATTCAACATAACAAATGCAAGCAGTGAAACTATATCAGATCTAAATTAAATCATAGTTCTTAAGGATATACGCGACCTTCGCTGCGGCGGATATTAAGTTAAATTGAAAAGGAATAAAGGAATACAAAACTCGAAAGACTAATCGACTGTTTGTTCAATTAAGGTGGCTCGATATAGTTTTTTAAAATGGATAATTCACGATTTAGATCCGTATTTTTGGAGAATTATTGCATGCTTGCTGAAAAACAAAAAGTATCTTACTGAAACTACACTGATGTAAAACAACATCCAAATGCTTTGAATCATCTTCTCACAAAAATTACGCAACTGCGCTGCAATGGCAACAATGACGTATATTTTAGCTTAGGTAAAATGGCGGATATTTTGGCTTTAAAATAATTTGACTCGTAAACGACATCGCGCTGAGCCGACAAATTTTTGGGGATCACTTTAAGGCTTGGTTATCAAGTATTGCATGAACTATATATATGTGCTATGAACCACTGAAGTTTAACCTTTAGTTAGTCTATAAAGCAATAAAACACAAACACAGTCTATATGATAAGAAAAGTCTGATAAGAAACGGAATTTTAAGTTGGACACTAAACATGCTTTATAAAGTTTGTCTAATAACATATTTGAGTCAGTGACATGGGTGCACGAGGGGTCTTCTAGTTAAAACATTTCACTTTGATTAGAATATTGCGGTAATTACTACCGTGAATTGGCTTCATAAATCCTGGTCACAGTATAGGAAAAGTACAGTAGGGCCACTCAGCGTAAAGAAGTGTCTACATTGTTTACTGGCTGCCAACCTAATTTACATATTGGCAGCCAGTAAATGGCAGCAGTCCACTATAAAATTGTACTACAGAATAACGATTTTGGCCGTGTAAGACACCTGGAACCTAGCTTAAATAATTGCCACTTTTCTCTCCCCTAAGTGGCCCTACTGGTTGTCTCCCTATACTGTGTCCTGGTTTCCATATGGTCGTATAATGGTCGTAATAAGAGTCACGATCTTTCTCAACGGCCAGTTTATAATAGTTTATACCGCTTGTGAACCACATATAAATCATAAGTATTCGCTAGTTTTTATCACCCCGACACTCCGCGTATTTTCAGTTCTACAATGTTGTATTTCAGCTGATGAGAAAGATTGTGACTCAATTTTTACGACCATAAAGGCATATTGGAAACCATGCAGGCTTGACTTATTGTTTCATCTTCAATGAGTGTAGTGTATGCAGCATTTCCGTATTATGACTATATGTCGTTGCTGGAGATCGAGTATTGCAAAGCTGAATGCAAGTGTTTTATTAACACCAACAGTTAATCAGTTACGCGGTTGTTTATCTACAGTTAAATTTATTTCAATTGTGTGAACTTTGTTATGCGACCCCATATAATTGCTGCCGACTAAATTACATGAAGTACAACTGAAAAGAAACACAAAAAGCTATGTATATAATCAACATAACAAATGCAAGCAGTGAACTTCTGAGTTCCTTCAGCACTACAGTATGGGCGTCCAAAAGGGACAAAATTATGAACACACACACACACAGTTTAGTCCAATGCTTGTACAGACCTGTCAACCTTGAAATTTTAAAAGAGGGAGATTTCGCTTTTTAGCACTTAAAAAACTGTGAGGTTTTATCAAAAACCCGGAGAGCAAAATTAAAATTCTAATAATTTTCCCGGCTTTATAATCATTATAATTGCATTCGCTTTAACAACTTGTTTAATTTAATTTAATGCTAACACGGCAAGAATGCAACTAGTTTTCGAGATCCCACGTTACATCTCATATCCTTACAGTAATCTACGTACTTATCGCTTAAGCCTAGTTTCCATTTGGTCGTTAGTTGTCGCTGACGCGACAAGCGGTAGATGTGCCAGTCTAATATAATAATAGTCTTTTGTGTGATATGCAAATCAGTCTTAATGATTGCAGAGTTTTTTGTTGACACTCTATTACATCAGCTACTTGTCGTGCCAGCGACAACTAACGACCAAATGGAAACTAGGCTTTATCAGTGGCGTGGTGGCTCGAAAATTTCTAGGGGGGCAGTGTTAAATTTGTCGCCCCTAAGAGTTATCTCAATTCTTGCGCCCCCCCCCCCGTTCCGAAAATTATTGCGAGTTTACACATCAAGTGTCATAGGCACGAGGGACTAGAAGGGTCTGGTAGGTCTGTGAAATGGCATTTCCAGCATTCTGAGAACACATTTTGTGAAACAGTTTACCGGCACCAAGTACTAATCTAAAACAACGTTAGTCAGGTTTTGTTGTAGCATATTATCAACGAATGTAATTATACTATAATACAATTTTTACTATCATACGCCAATAATGAGAGAACATAATTTTGTTCCGGGTCAAATGTCAATAACGTATAGACTATAAGCTATAGTTTATGCAAATTGAGCATAATATCACATGTACAGTTTTAAAAGACAACCAATGAACCAAATGCTAGTCAAAGTAGAGCTTTTGACAGTTTGGGAGAAAGCCCTGCGTACAGGTTAATGAGATGTTCTTTATCGCATTTGAGCAAAATTTTACGTTCAATTCACATTGGAAGCAATGATTCAAGTCTCCATGGATGAGCGAATGCGAGTCTTCGCCCTTTAGAGTGCAGGGGCCAGTTGTATCAAAGGCGTGTTGTGAGGGCCCCCTATACTTTTTGCGTGAAGCGTGAAGGGCTTGTTTTACTTAGCCGTGAAACGTGATCAGGCCCCCTATACTTTTTGCGTGAAGCGTGAAGGGCTTATTTTACTTAGCCGTGAAACGTGATCGATGATTTTCTTAATCCGTGACTCGTGAAAAGGCAAAATATTTTTACGTGAAAGCATATTGTGAAGAGGTATAGGGGGCCCTCTGTTGTATCAAGCCCGTTTAGCGCTATCCACCGGTTAAATTTTGCCTATCCACCGTGTAAACTTACACGGTCTCTTGAGACCGTTTAAATCGCTATACGGCGGATAAACTTGGAGTTTGAAGATAAAACAATGATTATTTCGGATGAAAAAGCATGGGATAGTTATAAAAATGCACAATCATGTAGAGGAGTTATCTTTTTAAATCCAATAAACATGAAAAACTCACTTTTAACTGGCTTGGTCTTGAGGTACACTGAAGTCACTTGCTCACTTGTAATTCCGTGGCTTTGCTATATTTTAATACGCACACCAGTGTCATGTTTAGATGTTAAGTATATATACTCTGGCTTTTTCTTCTTCTTTTCTTCTATTATATAGTTTGAAAACAAGCAGTAGGCCTAAGACTCGCAATTTTAGCTATTGTAAAACAAACAATGATTTTGGAAAGCCAACAAGTATACAAAATAGACAACAAGACGCCGAAAGTCGAAAAAAAATTGTTCGCTCGCGTTAATCGCTTTGATCAGCCAATCAAAACGTGGTTCAAAATGTTCTTAAAATTGTTTTGTACAAAAGTGCAAGGTCGAGGAACAAATTTCAAACAGTATAAAACTGAATCAACTGACAAAAGCCAAATACAACTCACAGTTTTTGCTATTGCCTTCGACTCTTCGCATAAAGAAGCCAAGTGAATTTAAGTGAATGAGAAACTCAGCACAATGTGAAAATGAAAAGTTTGATATAGATTTGCAGCAACGAATGGACGAGCAAACTCCAAATAAAAACAACAACAAACTTTATTGCAAAAGCTTAGTGGAATTCAATGGCCTAGCAACAGCTGACGTAGAGGTAAGAAATTTCAAGAAAATCCGGTTTTCTCCAGTTAAATTAAAGGTTATCCTACGGATAGTTAAACGCGGTACTAAACGGGCTTCATACAACGCAATTTTATCGGCCGTTTAACTATCCGCTGGATAAGAAATTTATACGCTGGATAGCGGCTAAACACCGTTTAAGTTAAACGCCTTTGATACAACCGGCCCCAGAAAACGAACGCTCTGCAGTCGACGAACTAACTGGGATGGCCACAGCAATAGCATAAACGCGACAGAGAGTTGGATACGCATCAACCAAACTATAATCTGGGTTACAAAGGAGTGAAAGAGCTTCAGAGAAAGATGGAACTTATTTTTCAGCTTTCTCGACCGGCGCCGCTGTCGCTCTGCTCATCAGGCTGACGTGTTTGAGGCTTCGTCGTCGTCGTCATCATCATCATCATAACCATCGTTGTCCTCGTCGTCATCATCATCATAGTCATCGTCGCCCTCGTCGTCTTCGCCGTCATCATCATCATCTTCTTGCTGGCAGACAGTTGAACAGTCGAATTTCTCAAAAGAACGAGCAAAATTGAACAATTCGTCAGCACATCTAAACGCGTCTATATTGTACGTTTCACAAAAGGTGTTAAGGCACGCTTGAAGATCATGCATGTGCGGTTTTGAAATTCTTCACAAGTTGTGGGAAACGGCTTGGAGCAAACAACGAAAAAGCTTGGAGCAAGGGTTGGTTTTTCTCAAACCGATTCTTCAATTATTTTAAGATCGTGTCCACAGAAACGTAAAATGTGTTACGTTTCCAGTGATCTTCTGGTGTTTCAGCAGGTTCGTCTTCGGCATTTTCATCATCCATTCGTCTTCGACGTCTGATTCTTGGTTGTTGCCAAGTCACGCTGGGGGAGTCGTGTTTTTGCTCGACGTATCTGATAATTCGCTCCGGTTCTTTACGCAATTCATTGAGCTCATCGATCGTGCTTTCGACCATACCCAGGGCTTTTCCAAAATCAACATCATCGCGTTGTAAATATCGGCTTAGCGGACCAGTGGATGCAAATATTTCTCGAAAGAGGTACGCGGTAGCCAGAAACTGCTTTGTTTGAATCTGCTTCAATAAGCCAATGCTCGTTTTCGTGGGTTTCCATCAATTAAACTGTCCAACGCAACGGTTTCCAGGACACTTAAAATGCAGTCATAACGAGAGAGAAGGACCTTTAGACACAACTCGCGTGAATGCCAACGAACAGTATTAAGTCTCTTTAGGGAAAGGACTTTCAGGTTCTCTTCCAGTTGGACAGCTTCGAACAAATCATGGATTCTTTGTGTCTTGCTAAAGAGAACGTACAAGGCTTCGAGGTCATTGAAGAGGCTTATTACTTGAACATCAACACTTGCAGAGTCGGACAAAACAAGATTAAGCGTATGCGCATAACAGTGGACAAAAGCAACATGCTTTCCAACTTTCTCCTTGATGATCGCTTGCAAGCCGTTGCAGCAGCCGCTCATATTCGAAGCGTCGGCGTATGTTTGTGCTACGAGTTTACCAAACGACACACCTTTCGAGACAAGTGTTTCTGAGATTAGACTATATAGTTCCATTGCTTTTGTACCGGAAGCTCTTTTGCAAAACAAAAGGTGCTCGGAGCATTTTCATTACGATTAACGATCCTTGCACAAATACTAAGCTGCTCGTGGTGACTGACATCCGGTGTGGTGTCGGCTATTAATTCCCATGCTCTGCAATTACCGATTTCTTTGACAATTTGCGAGGCGATTTCTCTTCCAATAATTTTGATCACATTATTCTGCGTATCGTTGCTGAGGAAAGTTAGTTTCGAACCCCGTCCTTTGGCACCTTTTTTCCCGCCCTTTCTTGTCGACATAGCTTGTTGATTTCTAACCTTTTCAAGATGATTTGCAGTTGTTATATCGTAGGTTGACAGGTAATTCAGCGACTCTAGAAAATTTCCTTTATTTGCTTCTGGGTCATCAATTAGCGATTCTCGATGCCTTCTGAAAGCAAGTCCCTGCTTTCCCAAATGTACAACAGTGTCGACAACACGTTTCATAATACTGCGGTTTGCCACGACTTTTTTCTTCCGCCGCAAAATTTCGGTCTTTTCTTGTTGCTTCAAGCATGAATCGATTGATCGTCCCTGCAAAAAGATAACTTGAGCAATCTTGGCATTTATATGACTTTCGGACTTTACGTGCTTTGTGATATTACTGTACTGCTTCTTCCAGTTCGAGTACCCAGCATTCGTAAAAGCATTTCCTTGGTTGTGGCGCGTGTTTTCGCCTCGTAAACATTCATCTGAAAATAGGAGACATGGGAGGCAGAATAGACAACCCTTACTTAGCGAGTATGAAAGCCATTTGCGCCTAGTTTGATCTTCGTGAAAGAATACCGCTTGCAAGCAGTACCGGTTCTCCAATTTTCTTTTTTCTCTCAGATAAAACGGATTCGGGTGGCTGACATGGTTCATTTTTACAAAACTTTTCTTTATCCTCTATTCCGAACTTCATGCCAACAAGTAACGCGTGATCATTGGTTTCATTCCCTCCATCATTTACAATTGCTGGATTTCTCCGGAGCATGCACTGTTCAATGATGATTGTGTCTTCTTCTACCCGATTCGGTATTGATGTATTCAAAGCTTCGTTAGGAACTGGATGTCCGGTTTCAAAGTCAGTAATTCTATCGTGAAATCGGCTGTCATTAAATTCTTTGATGATTCCACCATCGGCAAATGAATCAGGATCAAACTCAGATGCAGTTGCTACACCAGACACTGCAGATTCTTGCACGTCCATCTCGTCGTCCCAAACGTTCCCTTCACTAACTTTGTTAGGATATACTAGTATACATATGAACATATAAGGATAAATTAGGAACATTGTTGACATTCATTGATAAAGAATGACACGTGACCTTAACACGTGAGAACATTATTGAAAAACGTTCGTTGTTCGTTGCATGTTTTGTAAAAGGCATATTTGTAAATATGAAGCCATTTTAAAGCGTTTTCTTTCAATAAAACTATAAAAGTTAACAAACTTCGCGCCCGCTATCAAACTCTGGAAGACTTACAGGATCTTGAACCACTTCGACCTCATCTTCTATGTCGTTTTTGTCATCCACATCACATGGCTTGTCTGGGCTTGCATTTTATATACCATCTTTTACATCTATGCTTTCCGTCTTTTTGTCTCCTGCAGTATTTAGAGCCTCTTGGTCATTACTGGAAGCATCGTCTCCATATGATGAATTGCTTGATTTTGTGAAATAGCTTTTCATGAACGATCCAAGTTTTTCATTTTCTGCCCTTCTTGCTTGCTTTTTGTTCTCTGCATCTGATTTTTTCCGTTTTTGGCTTTTGTTGGTGGTTTCCATTGTAACTGTTGCGTGCTAGTCGTGGAATGAATAATATATTTCATATTATTGCAATAATAGCATGCAGGTTGCAATTAATTAATATACGACACACAATACCAAGATTTTTACTAGTGGTATTCAAAAGTGAAGTTTGCTCAAAAAAGTTTAATTTAAAGGGAAATGGCAATATTTTCTCATTTGAAAGAACTTTTAAAAACTATTTAATAACTTCCTTTACCGATTCTTATTCATACAGCACCAACATGACAAGCTGGAGACATTTTTGAAAGAACAGGATCTGGTCCACGTGATAAACGTTGCTTATATCTGAAAAAATAAACACAATGATTTCTCTTGTACGTTTGCGAGGGCACGAATATACAAGCACTTTTGCACAAAAACAAATCGATTAAAGGAGATACTTTGGGTTGTACTGTATGTTAAAATAAATTAAATAAAAACGTACAATGAAAGCGGAATCTGTTGCATGATATATCTGACGAAGGTTATGCTCGTCTAGACGGGCAATCAGGCACAAAAAACAGGTCGCATAGACGATCAATAAAGGTTCTCTCTGTTTTGTGGAGTGACTGAGCGCCACGCGTCAGTAACACTTTTATTAACCTACAAAAATACGTAATTTATCATGGGCATTAACTTTCTATTTAGGCCGCGTTTTACACTATGACGCTACGGCAAATTTACCGTAGCGTAGTGATTTGCATCCGGAGTGCCAAACGTAGTGGTCTGTAGTTAATACGCTACGGCAAACCACTTCGTTATAGTGTAAACATGCACAATACAAAGAAACGTAGTGAATTTATGGGGAAAGCGAGAAAATATTTAGCCAAATAATTTTGTTCTGTTCGTATGGAGAAACGTTATCCCACTTACCGGGTAAAGTTTCCGGCTTGTGACGTAGCACTGGTGTGACACGCGAGGCGGAAAAAGTTAAAAAAACAAACTTTAAATACATTTTAAAACCAGAAAAGTTGCTGACACGACAGAAAGTTTTCCCGCTAAGCGGGAAAGTTGTGGCTATGTTGTGTTCACATGGGAAAAACATTATCCTGGTCACCAATATTGTAATATATTTTAAGTAGATTTTTATACATGGGAAAATAAATTTAAAATTTAAAAAAGATCTCGCCTGTCAACAAGCGAGATCTCGGTACACGGGAAAACTTTTCGTCTCATATGAACGCAGTGTAACTTTTCATATTATTTTCATAACAAGGCGAGATCTCGCCTGTAAACTTGTCGAAATGTTTTCTCGCTAACCGGGATAACTTTTCCCCATATGAACAGGCCCTCAGGCTCCAAATAAGCAATATCCATCATACCTTGCGCGCTCAATGTTTAAGGTTTAATATTTTTGAAGAAGAACCATTTCTGAATTGGCTATATACACCCATGTTGTAAATACCACATAAATGGGGTAATAATTTTCTTTCTGTACTAATTAATATACATGCATCTACGCTTTGGGACAAGAAGGATGCGAAACATCAGTTGAAGAGAAGGTAGGTGAGCATTCTCTTTAAAAATCCCTTCTCAAAGGATTGAAATATTTTGTCAAGTTATAGAATATTCGTATCGCTACCTTAACGGATTCTAAACGGTTGCGTATTTTGATCAGTGAAATATCAATGTATTAACATCATATGATAGTTATTAAATCCAGTATAAAAACCTGAAACCTCTTAAAAGCTAACGTAGTAACACTATCAAATTACAAAAGGTGAGGTGGGGATGTTTTGGGACACCCAGTATATTATGACAGATTGACAGAATGTCATTGTATTTTCAAATTTTAGAAATTAAATTTTTAGAAATTTAATAAAATATTAACAGTAGTGCTTCAGGAAACCCACCTTCCGTTGAGCCTTTCCAGTTGAGGAGGAATCTGAGCAACCGCTGCCCTAGGTCTCAACTGCGTGATCGACGCCTGCGATCAACATAAACAAACGAAGATAAGACATTAATATACAGACGTTATTATAATTATACAAAACTCAGATACCATATATACAGATATTATACAAATATCAGATACCATTATAGTGTTTAAGGATATGTAAAACATGTTCATCTTGGTGTGGGAGGTAACCGTCCTACATATATATAGCCGAGGAAATTGAGTCAAACGGAAACGAAGTTTCAGAGCACGTAAACACACGACAGTTTGTCAGGCCAATTTCAGGTTTTGCTTAATGTTAACAAGGAATATCGTTCAATTGGTGCAGATTACCGTGAATGATCTAATAAACGTTCACTCTCTTGTTTTGTTCACTTGGCAAACTATTGGAAAGTAGCGTAACAATGACGTATGTAAGAATAAACGCTCCTCTCTAATAAACGCCCCTAATTTAATAAACGTTCCTCTTGAAAGTAAAAAATTCCCAGGCCGACAAATCGATATATTTACAGTAGCTTCTGTGTGAAGCAACGTTATCAGATACAACGCCACGCCAAGGATTCCCTATTTTCAAGAGGCAAAATATATCCAGATTTATCTTTGCTGCAAACTACTGTAATTTCAACTTGTAAGTCAATCATCGTTTAGCTCATCGGTTTGTTTCATTCCTTATAATTGCTGGCCAGAGACTGCTGGCCATAAAGGGAAACTGCTTTTCAGACAAACATGCAGTTTTCAAAACATCTAATCCATCCTCGCCATAGTGAAACTGTACAACAGATTCGTCACTATCCCTAACTGTCAAGTCATATCCAACATGTAAGCCCTCCAAATGCTTGATAAGACATCGCTGAAGGTAACCACTGCGACTTGTCTTCACTGCAGTATCAACCAGACCCTGTCACAAAAATAGTCATCATATATAAAGCTTTGGGCAAACGTGGAAACATGCGGAAGATTCTGACACTTCCTCGTATGTTTCCATCTTTGCCGTTCTTTGTTGAAAACATTGCTGTGAGAATTTTCTGCGTATGAAGCTAAAATGTTTTCCAACAAGTTTGGTAACATTCGAAATACTCAATACTTTTGGTAAACCTGAAACATTGTTTCCTAGTTTGTCCACAACAGTTCTAGAAGCATGGCTATGAAATATTTTCCCGCCACATTGTTTCTTAGATAGGCGTCGGATCTATCTCGGTCGGATCTATCTCCGTTTTCTTGGCAGTTTTCTTTTAACTGTATTTCATAACGTTTAACACAACACGCGAGCATATGATTGTAACTGCTGATCAGTAGCGGACACTTATTGGAGGGGAGGGGGGGGGATAGGTTGTTTATCAGAGAATATTGGGGGGGATAGGTTGCCAACATATGACCGCCTTTTGTAGCTGGAAAACTTAGTTCTTGTTTTGCCTTGCATTTCATTTAATGTATAGCTTACTTTTAGCTTCCTGTTCATAGCTTAACTTATGAGTAGGAATAGTGGTGTCAGCAGTCGTTTTCATACACCAGAATGACAATCGCATACAACTAGTCGTATCGTGTAAATGAGATTTATGAGATTTTTAATCAACAAACAGGGATAAGCTGTTACTAGTACCCTTATTATCATATACAATAAGAAAAGCTATGTATTGTACGCACTCCCTTAAAGCCAATTTAGATTTTAAGAAAGCACGAGCCTGTATGCAACAACTTTCATTCTACCTACCTCTCAATATTCTTATAAACGAGATTATTATTGAGACTAGTAAGTAAATCACAACAAATGTTAGGCATATTCTTTATTTTCTAACGAAACCTAACACAAAGGTAATTTCAAATCAAAACTTCCAGTTCCTCCACCAACAACTCGGCCAACAACAAGTCGAGAAGAAGGTGAAGACAGCTGTTCTGTAGCTCCCGATATGGTTGCACCTCGCAAGAAGTGCATGGTTGTTTCGAAACTCATCTTTTGGAATGGCGAAGCGTTCGACTCGATCCCTATACGATTGAAAGCCTTGATAGAGCCCTCGTACGTCATATAGTCAGCAACCAAAGTAAGATGACGAGGATCCACCTCAATGCCATACGCACCAAACACATTCTTAATTTCCTAGAAATTACAAAACAGATACAGCGGGATTAACTTGCTGGCAGTGATTACTTATAGTTATTTTGTTATGTCTAGTTTGGAAGACATTTTAATAACTCTTGGGGATCATTGCACGTCGGGTCAACGAGAGTTTACAGTACCACAATGGTTGTGCGTTACCATTCCCCTCCAGAATCCCATTTCGAAAGCATGAATTCGTTCCCAAATCGAATGAGAATAGGATGATTGAACATTATCTAATGAATACTCAGCTTTCATAAGCCTTTTATTTTTTTCTTGTTTTAGTAACTTTAAAATTATGAACTTACAGCAGCAATGACCCGACCTGCTGCCTCAATACCGTAAGTATTAGCAACTTGGTGAGTGTCATTTGTATATAACTTCTCTATTTCCAATACTTCAGGATAACTCCACATCACCTGTAGTATAAAAATATACACAATTTCAGATTAGAAGTACGAAGATAATAAAATATGTATATCATATATGCTTCACTTTCTCAAACTCAAAAATAATTCAAGAATTCAACACTAAGGAAATCAGCCAGGGAGACGTGGTTTTGAAAAAGGCGAAGTATCATAAAATATCAATTTGTTTGAGACTAACTTTCCCGTGTTTCAAAAACACCATCGTTATTTTGAAAAGCGGTAATACGCAAGCAAATTTTAAAGGAGATATCTTTTTGAAATACCGATTTGTTTGAGACTAACTTTCCCGTGTTTCAAAAACGCCATCGTTATTTTGAAAAGCAGTAATACGCAAGCAAATTTTAAAGGAGATATCTTTTTGAAATACCGATTTGTTTGACACTAACTTTCCCGTGTTTGGAAATGAGATAAACAGCTTCTCGTGTATTATTACTTTCAAGACAGGGTATCGTATAAGCGCCGCCCCCGATTAGGCAGCGCCTCATAATAGAGAGCAATAAATCATTAAAGAGAGCTGCACAAAGCACCGTCAGGTAGAATTGTTC